GATAAGAAGCTCTAACCATATCTAACTAAATTTTTACATATCTCAATAAAATCGGTTCTTTTCGTGTAATATGTAATAATTTTTAAAAATATATTTTATTACATTGGCTTTAGTAAAACACGTACATTGGTTTTATCACGCGTAATATTACATTCTATTCCCAACTAAATTCGTCGATAAGAAGCTCTGACCCTAACGCGGATGGTTTGAAAACGTTTCCCATTATGTATGCGTCGCACAAAGTTCCTTCTTCGGCATCAGGCAGGCTTTCGTGAACGATGATTAAGCGATTAAGTGATCTCCAGGGCGCTAATGTAATCCGCGTTAACGCGAGAGATCAGTGAACAAATTGCGTATTATACGCGAGATCTCGGCTTTCCCCCAAAACGATAATTTCCGGAACAGGAGCAGCTTAGGCTAATGTAATGTGTCTTAATGAGGGACGATATTGCACGAGCGTAAGGCCCTTCTTGTTCACACCGCTTAAATCACTATCGACGGTGCCTGACGAGGAAATTGGTATACTCCGTTTCATCATGCATAATTTCAACGAATTTGTTCTGAGTATGACGTGATGCAATTTGACGTAACTTGACGCGTAAATATACATTTGCATAGCATAAATAGGCTTGTGCTCGTTTATTAATACGTATCACATTTGATGCGCGCGCGACATTATTATTCGAAAATTACGCAATACGACCTTCCTTCTACGATAATTTATTTATATACCGTCTTTTCCTTACCGTCTTTTCCTCATTTATAAAGTTTAAACGTGAAGCATCGTGATAACAAGTTCAAATTTTGTTAAGTAAAATTAAAGTTAATATTAACTGAAAGCTCCTGGAAGACAGAGATTAAAATCTGTTAGATGAAAATGGAATTATTTCAACGATCTTTTTAGTTTAAAATTAATTGTTGCGTTAATTTTAATTTCTATTTCTAATTTTCAATTGTCACTTTTCTAGAAATTATTAAATAAATGTTTACAATATTTTCATTATTTATTACTGAAACTTTGCTTTTATTCCGTCTGTTATTTGACTCTTACGTAACTATTTATGTAACTATTTATTACTTTTATATAACTCTGTTATTACAGCGAATCAGTCTTTTATGCAACATACTATTAATATTATTATAAAAACTTATTTTATTATGTCAATTTTGAGAGCTAACAGTCTTCTGTTTTCTTTTACAAATTTTTGTTTATTCCAAACAATTTACAGGTATATCGAACATATCGATCTTCCTTTCGTCGAACGAAAGACATTTAATGTTGCAATATACGACGAAAGCACTTAGCTGAACGAAAAATGCTCACAAAAATGGGTCGAATTTTCTGATGGTAGATAACTCTGGCAGAACGGGAGTTCGAAGGCTGTAAAGCTCAGCTCATCTTATTGGATCCCCGGGTTATCTTGGCCCGGTTCGAGAAATAATGCCATCCAGTTGAACCTTCCCTCTGTTTGTTTGAGTTGTTTGACGAGGAAAAACGATACTCGCCTTCGCGAACTGACGCTGGCAAGCTGGCTGGCATGGATTCCTATGTCTTCCGCGTTCTTGTACGTCACGATTGTCACGAATTTATCGCGAACTTTCGTTGCGAAACTGCAGCACTGGATATCGAATTAATATAAAATCGGAAATATAGACAAACCGATTATTTGAACGCGACCATTGTGTTATGTCGTATCTCTCTCGCTCAGTTTCTATAAGCCCAATGTATTTGCACATAAAAAAAGCTTTTTCTGCTCGCATATTTTCATATTTAATCGAGGTTTGACGTAAGAGAGCTCTTACATATTTTCCACCCTCTCATCACGGTGAAATGTAAACCGTGAGAGAGTTGTTTTGGACAATTTCATTTTTTTAAATAGTATAAGTTTGATATTTTTTTAAACCCAATTCGACATACGCAATAAATAATTAATGGAATTTATTCGTACATTTATAACAGTTTTTTACTATAATTTAATATTGAAAATTGCCTGATATCAAATAAAAACAAAGATAAGAAAATAACGTTTAATATTAATAAGTCTTACGAATTTTTAACATTGTGTGATAATATTTTCGCTACGAGCAATTGTTTTCTAAGCATTGTTATAAAGAAAAATGTTTCTCGTTGAAACCTATATAAATAGATACATATAAATCTTGATGTATTCCTCTGTGTCAATAAAAAAAGATATATCCCTTAAGATTCGCACCCCTTACAAAAATAATATATAGCGTGTAGACAAAGATATATCGCAAGTGATGACAATAATCTTTCCATCACCACAATATTTCTTGATATAACTATTTATTCGAGAATCTTTAGGCATTTATCATACGTCAAGCATCTCAAATAAATTCGATCAAATATGGGAAAAGAAACTACAGCTAATATTATCAGAAATTGAACGAAAAATATATCTTTAAGATATATCTGAATACTCGAAGACATTTAAATAATAAAAGCAGAAATAAGATTCAATAAAATCATGAATCGCTTTATTATTGCTTTTTAAAATAAAAGATATTTTTTTAAAAAAGTTCTTCATATAAAATATCTTGTTACGTTGTTTTTAATAATAATTAGTAATTATATGTGACATTCCATTAATAACATGAAAAAACTACATAAATTTTAAATATGAATAAATATGCATAAATATGTGAATAAATATTTTCTGAATATCTGGAGTTAATTATTTCAATGTTTTAGAAACAGAAACCGTTAATACCGCGATTTGTACCAACAGTAAATAATAATTGGCATAAATATGAATACATGAATGTATGAATATATAAATCACTAATAATTAATATAATACGATAAAATAATATCAGTATTTGAAATGTTATTGCTGCAAATTAAGGAAAAAATTCATATTATTTATTATAGTCGATTAAAAAGTTCGCATCAAAATACCTTTGCTGCGCTCTGATCGCGATTCCACAATAACTTATTAAGAATGTCAGTTTTTCGAAACGCGAGATTCCAATAAAGAGACGGTTTATCGAAGTGATCGAGCAAATAAGCCATGTTAGGAAGTAGAGATCCCACAGAGAGAGAGAGAGAGAGAGAGAGAGAGAGAGAGAGAAAGTCACGCTATCACGATAGTGATAGCGACTCGAGAGAGAACCCTCTACACGCTGTTTGACAATCTTCTCCGTCCCTTTTCTAGACCGCGAAAAGGTCATTCGGATCGTCCATAAAAGGATATTTCGAAGTTCTCCGCTGGCGGTATTGGATAAGAACGGCGAGAATATTGAATTTTCCTCAACCGAATGCCACTCTAGATATGTCCAAAATAACGTTTACCGGAGCCGATTTCCATCGAAGGTGGAAAGACGTAAAAGGGTGTAATTTTACTTTTGACCGCCAAGTTTCTTTCTCCAGGACGTCGCTTCCGATGTGTCAAGACTGCAACGATGTCTTTGACGAGCAAATCGAATCGATCTAGACGGTAAAGGACTGCAACCGCGTCGTTGCATTCCCGCGTTGAATTTGCCGTTGTAAATTGCGTGGTTCCATTGGCAGTTTGCCAAGGCAGATCTCTCTGTTACCGAAACAAGACTCAAAATGAAATTCTAATTTCCGTTTAAACCATTTGTTTTTTATCACCAACTTATTCATGAAATATCTTGAATTTCAAGACATAAGATTTATGAATAAAATTAAAAAATAACCATTTAAATATTTATTAGATAAAAAAATAGATTATAATATCTAGATGTTACATAAAATTATCAATAATTAATAAAGTCTATGCTAGTAATATTTAATAAAAATTCCGTTCCTATTTGTTTAGTTTTTAGTAAGAATTATTATTTATTTTCCAGATATAGATACTCCAGATCAAAAGTAAGAAAATACTTTTAAAAAATTAACATTTTTGGATTATTTACTCAGCTATTCATAATAATATATTATTTTTTAACTATAAATAATAATTCTTCAGATCTAATAACAGTTATTGGATTTGAAGAATTATTATTAAAAAAAATTGTTGTAGATATTTGAAGAAGAATTAATTCCAAAAATGTTAATTTATAAAAAGTGTTTCCAAGCTTTTAGCCTGGAGTGTATATACATAAAAATAAACTTAATAGAGAAAGGTCGCCGTTATACCACTTCAGTTTTAGAAAATATTTCTTAAATAAAAATTAAAACATAAAACTTCAGAAATATAAATACAAACTAGAAAATTCTATCTTCTATTAGATGATACAGACATCTAGAAGTATAAAAGCAGATATTTTTAAAAGATAATTAAGTTAATGTGAGAACATTTTCATTTAATCTATAGAATTGTATTGTTAAATATATATAAATATTGATCTTTTTAAACTGTTTGATATATGTATAATAACATTCATTTTTATACGTGAAATATTCCAAACAGCACACAATATTTATAATACGTGAAATATTCCAAACAGCACACAATATTTATAAAATATTTGCGACATTTATAAATAAGTATTTATAAGACTTATTTTAAATATTTTGTAAATATTTTTGTGGTTATAAATTGCATAAATCATAAGCATTTATTAATATAAATATTATAAAATATTTATTGTAAATCTTGTAGTAAATTCTACGAAAATACTTAATAAGACATTACAATTCAAGTAAAAAATACTATTACCAGAAATATTTATTTATTTATATTTATTATAAACATTTAGTCTATCTTTTAATAATATTTCGAATAAAGCTTTATATAAAATATGTATAAAATATTTATATAACATTTCAAAAAATGAATAGTAATAAATATTTATCATAAATTTATTCTATGCTGTCTGGGATAAATTTCCAGTTCTCCAGTGTCTTACAGAAATTATACACTTGATACATCCTTAAAACGATCTTGAAACAAGTACCAACTATGAATATCGATCTAAATCTCACGATTTGTCATATTTATCTGAAACGCCATTCTCTATACATCACGTAATCGTCTGATTAATGCTTTCTCTTGTGTGTCCCGCGAGAATAGTCTCCGAGTTCGCTCAGGAGTTGGGCGCTGCGATGGAGAGCCACTCGGCAAACGTGCGACGTCTGGTTGACGAATTTCGCGGTCGATCGGGCGACTCAAGAATTGATGTCGGTGGTATGCGACGAGTTTGGGAAAGTTTGCTGCGGCAGGTTGAGGCGGATGCAGCTTCCCATCTCGATTTAGCCGCGGTGCTGCAGCAGCAATGGTCGAGGCCCACTTTAGAGGCGAGCTTCCACCGAAAGCTGCAATCTAGAAAGGTGAGCTTAACCACGTGTGCACTCCACGAATGTTTTTTCTGTGCAAATTTTTTATGTAAGCTTTTAATACCTACGCTCATTTATCACATACTATTGTAACTGAATTTGTGAATATTGTAATATATTTCAAAATAATTTCATTAGATGCGTGTGGCCATTATATACGCGCTTACGATTTCTCTATCTCTCTAAGCATTCCTTTTACTGTGATGAGATGTGTTAACATCAGTATATCGCTATTCTGCGAAATTGCAATTGCAATTTCCAACTATTCAAAGACGCTTCAATTGCGATAAGACTCTTCTCTCGTTGCTCAGATATATCGAGTCACGAGAGGAGACAAGTTCGCTGCAATTGACAAACGTGGCCAGTGAAGTTTCCCAAGCGATCCACTCGATTATTTGATTACACGCGTGACAGTACGCGAATGCGGCATTACAAACCGTGTTTGCTTTCGGAGCGCGTCACCTCATCCGATTTCTCACACCGTACGCGATCTACATCGTATATCGTATTCCTCAGGTATTCGCCCATCGTGACGCTTATGAGCAGGTAGTTAGCAAGACGGAGGAGAAGTTGCAGCGTGCCAGATTAGATTACAAGCGCGCCTACGCCGCGTTGCTAACCAACGAGGCCGGCGGCGCCGAACAGGAACTGAAGCGCGCTTACTTAGAGTCGCACAACGCCTACATCCTCCAGCTACGCGCTACGAACGCTATTACTGAGCGCTATCAGTTCCATTGTTTGCCAGGGCTGCTGGGCGAGATTGCAGAGGTCTACGAGGAACTTTGTGGATTGGCCTGCAAATGCGTTGCCGGGATCTCGGACGCTGCCGGAGAGCGATCCGGCGAACAGGCTAAACGTTACCAGATTGTAGCCAAAGAGGCACAGGCGATTATACCGTCCAACGATTTACAGGTATCACGCGGAAGGAACGATTTTGCTCAAATATCTATCCAAAAATCTAGTTAGATACAGATCTGAAAATAATTTTGTTGGAGATTCAAAATAATATCACAAACTATAGAAATCAAAGTCTTAAACGGTCTGGCTGAATCTTAAATGCTTCTATGATTCTGTGTGAATTTATATATTACGTATGCAGTCCTTCTTGAAATACGAATTTTACTAAACTACCGCAGTGATATCACGTGTTAAATTTGACTAGCAATTTTAATAATTTTTTTATACTTTTTCGCATCTTCGAAACAATCTTAATTATGCTGAGTGACACATTAAAATCTGTAAATAATTAATTCTTATTGCGAAAAATATTATGCATCAATCAAAATAATAATGTAAGAAATTCAAGCATGGTGTGAACAATACTGCAAAAATTTTTGTTCTAACAATCAACACGAACTACATAATTATTTTGACACACAGATCAGCAAAATTATTTTTAGAACTATGTAACTAAATTTTTGGATACTTCAGCAAAACTTTATTACTGTATAAAGAATTATAATCTTTTTGTCCTAAAATTGTCAATTCATTTGTACGGAAAAAACGGGTTTGCTGAAATATCGAAAAATGTAACTAGGTACAGATCTGAAAATAATTTTGTTGGATCATTAAAATAATTGTGTAGGAAACAAAATTATCTTCAGATCTGTTATTTAGTTAAATTTTTAGATACTTCAACAAAACCTTCTTCCTATATATATTCGCTTTTTTGAAAAGAATTATTGAATTTGTGAGACAATTGATCGTATAGCAAAAATTATCCAAGTACGAAAAATTAGCTAAGATAGATACATTTCTAGCAAATACTACGATATTGGTTATGCATTGCATATAATCATATAATCAACAGAGATATGTAGAAAATTTAGATTTGTGCTATAAATTCTATGCGTATGATACATCATTTTCTATCAGATACAAAAAACAGCGATAATTCTGGCTGGAGCAACAAAATATTTTTTTATGTGTGGGAAACATATACTTTCTTTTTTTCTTCTTTTTTACTTCGCTGTGATTTAAAGTGTTCCATCATGATAAAAAGAAAATATTTTTATTTTGTTGAAAGAAATAATGCAAGAAACTTGTCACTATTTTTCATTAACTCAGGAATAGTCACCTAAGATGTTTTTACACCAGTAGCAAAAAAAGATCAAATGTAAAACACCATGTCATTCCGAATGTGTCCAACAATTTGTTGACGTGTAAACGTTCTTCCTGTCGGTCCAGCAATTCTCAAATGTCTAAGCCAATACCACCATAATTGCACAAGAATGTTCACTCGATTTGGTAGAGATCACTACTTCGAATGCGATCTGGCATGAAGCAATTGCGACAAGTTTTTATGTTAATCTAGCGTAACAGACGACAAAAGATGATAAGAACGTACGTAATGTAAGTTACGTATCCACTGAAAATGGTTCCGTTGAGAATCAAAACGTTTCGAAGATTTTTGTGATATGTGTAACAATATATTCTTTTGCACCGATAACGTGCTTGGCTCATTTAGCCCTTATACGAATTTATTATTGAATTTATCAGTTCGCTGAGCCTTTAAAGTTTTTTAATTTTAATTTCAAATGTAAAATATTGTTTTTTTATGTATATTGTTTAACATATTTTCTTTCTTTTTTAATAACTATTCTTTACGAACCTTTAAATATGCAACTCCATCGAAAATCCGCAAAAAAGTATTATATTAATTAAAAAATTTTTTTTTAAATACTATCATAATAAGCTACTAATTAACGTGCTTATTACGTGTTTAATATTTATTTGGTTTCTATTCACTTTCTTCAGAAATTTATGAGTAAATCCATATGCATAATGTTCTCAAATACTAATAAATCGGAAAATCAATAATGTACAACAAGTTGGTAATAATAGTGGCTTTAATTGAGTATAAAAACGCTCCAGGCGTCAATAATTATTTATACAAAAAAAAAGATCAGGTGACTACTCCCAGGTTAAAGCATAATATCTATGGAACTTTCAAATTGGCAATTAGAGAAAAAGAAACACGCAATTATATCTAACTTATCCCTCTTTCACGAGATTAAATCTCTCAAATCGGAGAGCATCTACCGTGTCAATCTCGCGACTCGATACGTCAAGCGAAACCGATCGATCGTGTACAGATACGATGCCTATGACGATACGATTATTCCGGACATATTGATCACGCATAGCAAATAGACGTACCGAGCATGTATCCAATTTCGGGGCGGTGAGGTGTCTGATGGTGGATTACGATCGCCGGTATTCCGAGAAGAGAGACACAGAATGAAAACAGGGTTGCCTGGTTAAAGCTGGTCATATTCACTGTGAGGGCACGCATCTAGGATATTGGCCGCTCGAAATCGCCGCGTTTGTGTACGTTTATTCGCGTGTGTACATGTATGTACGGTGAGTTGACTTGTTCGGCTGACCAAACATGCTGATATTCACTGATTTGTCCTCCTTGAATCCGTCGGTCGGATAACAGGCTCTCGTCAGAAATACCGGTTTGTCACTTAGTCCCGGGTTTCATTGTTTGGTTAACTTGTAGTTATTCTTAATTTCACTTAACTCAATGATAATATAAAAATTAGGTTTTTCTAGCTGATTAATCATTAACTAATGGGGTTTTGTAGGTAAATTTAAAAGTTACTCTCCAGACAACATGCAGTATGTAGAAGACGTCTTTATGATATGATCTTTTGGATAGCTTTTAAACACGTTCGTCCCAAAAGACGTCCTTATGATGTCTTTATGACGTTTTTTAGACATATATGTTATCTGGTCACTACTATCAGTGTTTCATGAGTATATAACCACAGAAAAATACAAATTTTATATTATTATCAGGTTAAGCCTAACCATAAATTAACCAGAAAATGAAAAATTGGACTTTAAACGCATATTCCTATCTACATCGCAAGAGACTATTAATCCAGATACGCAGAGACTATTAACCAAAATACTTTTCTTCGAAATTTCATCTCGCGTATATCATCATGTAGTTAAGATCTTTAATTCGGGCCGATTGATATACGATTTGCAATGAAAAAATATATTAAAGCCACATAATACAATACATGTCTCACATAAATTTGCGAAACGTGCTACGCGTTGCATTATATCATTCTATTTTCAATTTACTCGGTTATTTCGCTCGTGAATGTATTTTATTCGATGGCGTTTTTACTTTCTTTCATTTTTGCGTTCGCCAGTTATAAGACGTAAATCAAATCGTCATAAGTGGTAATGTAACACAAATGTAACATTATTTAAGACCTTGGCGCGAAATTTATCCGCGAACGCGACGCCGCGGAAGCCGCCGCGACGCCTGTACGTCGCGCCAGCACCACCCGAGCAGATACCGATGGAGAGAATCAGTCAAATACCCACACTCAGGGACGAACTGGTACCAACGGGCACCAGTACGCTCCCGCTCATGGAGGATCTTAAACATGAGTACGATAGCCTCAATCAGGAAATAAGTCGTCTGCAAGACGCTTTGGATGCTCTCGTGCGGATGCAGCGCAAGTACGTAGTTATTTTTAATACAATCGTGTATATTTGTAACTCTACAAATAACGAGCGTAACGTCTCTCTCGTGTCAGTCTGTAGCATAATTTTTCTAACACACATTGTTTGCCCAGCAATTTTTCGTGGCGTGTACGCACAGTAAAATTTTTATCATTATTATATAAATATATGTACAATGAGAAATATGTATGATTAAATTAATTAAATATGATTAAATACTTTATTTTTATGAGTAGTATGAAATATACACTTTTTACTTGACATTGTTCTAGCTACTTATGTCATTTAAAATTTTATGTTAAATGATATTTATTTTTCATAAGCATTTTAAAAAGTTAGGGTACATTCCCAAATGTCCCCTCCGAGAAAAATTTTACTCGCAGTATACATATAATATAGTACAATACATATATATATACTATAATATATAGAGTAAAATCTTCCTCGGAGAGGACGTTTTGGAATGCAATCTTAATAGCACCGGTTACCATTATGATAGCCAACGTGTTAATTATATGTAAAAAAAAACATATTTCATTTTTGCAAATTTTTTCTTCTACTTGGATTTCGCTTTATGTTTTACAATAGAAATTTTTGTTCCTGTCAAGTTTATAATGATTTATTTCGTGTAACTTATTACAACGTGAAAAATTCTTGTGAAATATTTTTGACGAAAATATGTCTAAATTTTATTATTTTTACTATTATTGAATATGCATTTTTCATCAAGTTTTTATTATATTGAAAAAAATTCTAAATTTTAATAAATAAATATAAAATAAGAAAAGAAATAAATCCGCTCGATATTGTAAATACAATAATTAAATGAGTAGATAGGTCAAAAAAACGAGCAAAAGAAAGATTTTAATTTAAACTAGTATATTATCTCACAGTTATTCACAATTAACTAGTTATTCGAACCATTAATTTAACTTGACAATTATTTCTTTAAATAAATAAATTAAAAACTACAATTGAGCTCTCGAGATTAAAACAATAACATATAAAGCCAAAAACATGCGATTGAGAGCAGAAATTAAGATGCAGTTATTAAAGCGTTATACGTTAACAATAAATGTATTTCATAAATCTTACAACTACGATGAAATCGGACATTTTGGCTCAGTTCATTTGTTTTTATCATTGTCGTATTATAAAATTTTACTTTTCTGTTGTACTCAGTTAGCCATTCAACTAATTGACAGTGATGCTTCTCAAGTTTGAAATTGAAGAGACTCCCTTAGCAGCATTCTTGAATCTTATCTGGAATTGATTGTAATGTTACTTGGACATCGCTGAGAATGGCTCGAACTGAGCCGAAACGTCCGATTTCGTCGTACTAATTGTAAGATTTATGAAATACATCGTTAACGTATAACGCTTTAATAACTGCGTGTTAATTTCTGCTTTCAATTGCTTGTTTTTTATTTTATATGTAATTATTTTTTTATCGAGTAAATATTTATTTACTGTAAGTACACGTTTAACACTATTCAAATAAATATTGATTAAAATTTAGTACATTTTTTTTCTCAATATATTCTCTACCCAAAGAGTTAATCAAGATTGTTTCTTGACTTTCGAACGTTTGTTATCTTTATAGCTATATTTTTTAGTCAGTGTAGTAGCATGAATATACGTCAGTTTTTTAATCTTTTAAGGAGAAAAACATGGACAAGAATTATTTTATCACTTCCCATTGCAGGAGTGCAGAGAGTAATCTTTACACGAAAGTAGCTGAGCTACAAGAAGATATTTCTCTGAAGCGTCTCGACCTTGGCGTTGCGCAACTGCGTCTAGCCGCGGTGCAAGCACAGGTAAGCACGTTCTTTGTTCCCTTTAGTTCTGATTACCGCCATATTACGCAGCGTCCGTCGCACGTTTATTATTTTATTCATCTCTGAGCTTGACATGCCATATTACTTTATTCATCCCGATGCAAAAAGCGTACTCATATTTATCATACAACTTGAGCTTTTTAAAACGCAATCCCGCGAGCTGTATGCCATTTATTGCAATAGCACGATTCGTGGAAAATAAGATACACATTCAAATGCGATTCTGTTATAAAACTCTCTTGTGGAATATAACAATACCAATATGTATGTTATAGAAACCAACAGTGGACACAAAGTAAATAATAAATATAAATTGTGAAGTGAGACTTCGGTTCAATTCTGTTAGGATAGATAGTCCTATATTAAATGACTCTATGTTCACGAAAATGGATCAGAGGCATCTATCTTCCGAGTTCTCTCCATTTCATCCAATTTGTCCGACCACGCGTAGCATCGAGGGCCTCATCTATACATAGTATACAATATACAGGATGGATGCATCGGTAAAGAGCTACTCAATTGTTCGTTATTAACTTAAAGTGAAAATTGCACTATCCAGAATTGATAAAAAAAGGTCTGTTAAAGCTAATGAAATTGCCAGTATTAATCACGTAACTTCAGTAACTGATTAATGAGACAATATTGAAAACTGATAGCAGCGCAATATCACGTTTACAAAATAAATTATGTCATTTTATACAGCTATAAATATCACGAGCAAACCTACGTTCATTAAAATATGTTGGCAAATTGAATTTGTCATTCCACGGAAAATTCAATTTTGTCAATTCAATGTGTTTCTAAAATAGATTATCTAAATACAACAGTATAATTTGAAAAAGAGAAACAAGTATATTCGAACAAAAAAGAAATAATGTTGTGTAATCTGAAAAGGATTAAATTTTAAATTATTATAGCTGATAAACTAATTTCAGTATACGCGTATGGAAAAATATCGCGCGTGGTGAATTGTTTACGGTCTGCTCGCCTCGGAGATTTCTTGGTGTGTGTGTGTGACGTTGACAAATATGAACGGTACACTTTTTAAAAGTTTTCTAAGTAGGAGGCTTGTTTGTGGCCATTCACTAGCGATTGGTCATTCACTGGTACGCTTTAGCCTAAACACCGGATAAATACTGGCGCGCGCAATCGCGCGACATGCGCCTTTGCAACTGGGTCATCGGCGAGCACGAGCGTCTGAAAATCCATTTCTGGCCTCGTCGAGAGAGAGTCCGTCTATCCAGGTCAGGCGAGCAGGATCGTCGCTGTCTGACCGCGCGCTGCCGTTTTACCACCGCTCATCGTAATATCAAATCGTGATCGTGTCCAGTCTGAAGAATGGGATGGACTACGTTACGTACGCGAGTCGTTAGTATTTTTTCTTCTGGTGAATTATGGTTCTGAGCACGCTATATCACAAGGGTGCTGCATGATCCAGTGGACTCGTTCGACGACTACATCACGAGCAAACCGCCCTGGTTGAAAAGTGCTTAACAGTGCTCCTAATATTTATGATTATTAAGAACATTAACGTTTAATTGTCTGGTGATATTATTTCATAATGACACAATATTATCATTCATTGATTTTCATTATATTTTAAATTAAATCTACGTGATTTTACGTTTGGTCGTAATATTAATTAAAAGTAATTGAAAAATGTATATTAAAGTATTAATCAAGTTTATATAACGATTATTCGAACGTAGGGAGACGTTGTATTATTAAACGGATAAGGAGTTACTTATTCATTGTGAAGTCGAGCACAAAGAGGCTAATGTTACGATAGAGAACAATGGCCGAGTATATTCTCAATGACCACGGGGATCAATGAAAGTTGACATGCATGTATTGTCAATGAATATATTCCTACAGTTGAAAACGGGCGAATCGCAGTGATATCTCCATAGAAATGTTTCAACCAGGGTGGTGCATTGACGCATTCGTTTTCAGGTTAACGTGTTGCTAAGCGCGTATTGCGACAGAGATGAAACTCTTAATCGCTGAACGAGAAAACCTTATCCTTGTATCTTGTAGAAACTAGGAAAGTGTAATAATGCAGCTATAATCACCATTTAAAAGCTTATAAAAGAATCGCATTTGTTATAAAAGAATGCTCCATAGATATTTTTTTTTTCTTTTAGCAACACTAATAAGGAGTAACTATTGTCCACGTTGAAATTTATATGCAGCAATTGTCGGCGACTATTTATCTCATTTGAAAGCCTCGAAATTTTTAATTGAAGGACATATTCGTCGAATCGCTAAATCGTGCGTGAATAAAACATACATAATCTCGTTGTTTTGCACGCGATGATTATTATCGATTAGATGACATATAATATAAATAATAACTACAGAGAAGTCGCTGGGATAATACTCCCCACGTGGATATAGATTAAACTCACCCTGAGTCACGTGTGTGTAGGGCTCGCTCCTTACTCATTCATAGGGATGTGTAAACACGCGAATTGATACGCAAAGAAGCATGTAATCATCATCGTCGTTTAGGGTGTTTCCGTGTGCGAACGGTAATGGACTCTTCTCTTATGCACGAAGCGTAAATTTATACAGAATGTTCTAGATCGCCTTTGGAGTCGTTAATCAATATCGAGCTCATATTTCCTTAATAAAAATTTCGCGCAGCGTATTACCTCATTCATAATTTGTTTGATTTCTCTCCAACGTTAATTATTGTAATAATTAAAACTCAAAGTAAAATTCCGTTAAGGTCTAATTCAATGAAATTAAATAAAAAGTAAAATTTTATTAATCGATATCGAACCTCCCTTACTACAAATTTCGCGTAGCGTATTACTTCATTTATTATAGGTTGTTTGATCGCCAACATTAATTATTGTAATAATTAAAATTCGAAGTAAAATTCCGTTAAGTTCTAATTTAATGAAATTAAATAAAGAGTAAAATTCTATTATTTACTAATCCTAAATGTTTTTCGGTTTTTTTTAAAACTTTAATTATTCGAGTTTGTTAGATTTTATATTTCAAAAAATAAAATTTTTCAACACTAGAAAGGCATTTCACATTTCATATTAAAATAATGTTAAATCTTTCCACATATTATTTGTTACAAAAACAATCACGAAAATATTTTACATGAATTAAATATATTACATTAGATATTTTTTAATTATTGAAAATGTGTTACATATAAGATGTATATATATATTTTTTTTTGTCAATTACAGAAGGAACTTTTTGGAGGAGGCGAAGCTGGTCAACCGGATGGAATGACCAGTCGGAAGATGTCAAACGGTTCGACCGGAAGTCCCAAGCTGAAATGGCTGAAAGCATTCAAGAGCCTAAAGACTAGTTCGCCCACGACACCACCGTTATCCGACAAGTGAGCTACTTATTTCCTTTCTACTAACACCAATTTTCATCACGTGCATGCCGCGAAAAAGCGCCGAAGTTTTCGACGCGACGGAGATGGTTTTCACCGGGCGATACCGGGAACTATGTAATTTGCTTCCTATATGTACTCTTCGATACAAATCCCGGAAATGAAAGAGGATAATTTTTGCTTTTCGAGTAAATTTGACACTGATTGTCTCATTCGTGTTTCTCTTTGCTAAACTTTGTTTCGAGACGCTCAGTAGAGAATAGCGCAGCTGAGATACATTCGTGGGATGCGCAAATTGAAAATTTTGTTAGCCAACATTGAAAAGAAGTAAAAATGATATATAGTTGTATAACTAGAAGTTCTATTTCAAAAGATGTACTGCTAAAAAATAATTTACTCTAATTTTTCTTCTTACCTCTCAGTGTGTATATATATATGTATATATATATATATATATATATATATATATATATATATATCTATATATATATATATATACCTATATATATTTAAAAAGAAGTATTTTGCGAATCCTACGTAACGTATGCATGAATAAATGAAATAACGAATGTTCTTCAAAGATTAGATATCGCTTTATCTTGATGTAGATAGATGATTTTAATTCGACTTTAATTATTTTTCCGCCCGTTATTTTAATAGGAAATTAGAAATTTTCTCACAAATTTTGAAAGTTAAATTAGAAATGTAGTCGCCGTAAGTACTCTTATTCAATATCGATGTATTAATTGAATTAAATGCGAAAGTTCTACAAGGAAAACTTGAATTTGTGTTTCGCAAACAATTCACTCGTCAAACATTTCACCGGCAATGGAAACGCCTTCACCGTCATCTTAGAAAACAAACAGCATAGAGTAAATAAAGTTTTTCTTGTTGCACCTTCGCAGACTTATAGAACAATTGTTGTCAAAGTGAATTCTCAAGATGAGACGTTTGAGTTAATATATGCTTTTACTTCCGTGTGCTTTGTAAGTTTCCCAATTAGGGGAACCATAGACGTTAGACGAAAGGGACTTTGAATAACCGTAGATACTGTTTTGCGAATGCTCGACTAATAAAGAGGAAAGCAGGCAACCATGTACCACGCAGTTTCCACCGTCGTCGCCATGTCCAGGTAAGTTTCCAGTTAAGATTGTTCGTGAACATCAGTTGACATTTGCGACTTTACATTTGTCATTCGAAAACGTTTGAAAACGAATATTTACTTGAAACATGAAATCACTCTTAATAAAATTTTTACTATTTAATCGGAGAGTTGATTTATTCTTATTATATTAATTCTTACACGTTAACATATTGAAATCTTTGTACGCGTTAACAGAATATCCTTATTTTCTTCCGACCTTACATTTTGTTATATAATTAATAAAAAAATAAATATTACATCCGATATCGCTATATTAACCTTCCGTCTGCAATCATATTTTTGCTCCCTCCGTCTGCAATCTGGATCTTTTTTTTTGTCCAGTCTAATTAAGTTCTTTTCCATTTTAAACTTTCAAAGAAATTTAAGATGACTTTTCAACATCTCTATTACATTATCAAATAATTTTTAACTTAAATGTTAAAATCTTTATTCAATAAAATTTAAAATTTGAGATTGAAAGAACTGATTATATGAAAAAAGTGCTTTTATATAGTCAAATTAGCTAAAACTGTGATATTTTGTACTTATGAGATGTTGATAAACGCCCGTTTCTATATGTAGACTAACTTATTTTTTATCTTTTTCTAGTATTAAGAATGAAAAAAGAATAATTCGTAAATTAAATTGAGATTAAAGTTAATCTACATTGATAGAAATGGAGATAAATATCACAACCATAAAAAAATAGACAGATTTTGCTGTAGCATCGTTTGAAAGTTTTTGTAACTGTATAAACAATAAACATTTATACAGTTAAACACGTAACATACAACTATTTGTATGTATATTAAAGTTTATATCTTATATATATATATATATATATACGTATCATTATAGGGTAAAAGCACTAGATGTGGATGAGGCACTAGTTCCGGATCACTTTATATTTAAATAATTATAATATTTTCCATTAAAAATGGTACATATTATAAGATTCTTTAGCATTTGTTTTATCTCTTTCAAGTGTCAATTGATTTTAATTTATTACAGGAACAGAGCTACACATTTTATTGATGTCATTAACAGCATTAACTAATTAAATTCGAGGTTAACGCATTGTATCTTCAAAACTTCATTCAAAGTGTAATGTCATAAGAATTGCCTTATACCTTTTATAGTAGATAGTGTAAATAGCATTAAATTTCATAGAAAAAATCGAAAACGTTATGTTCAATTGAGAGTAAATGTGTCCACGGTTTGTGTTTAATCACTATGTTAAAACGATATTTTTATTGCGTAAATTTATTATAAAAATGTTTAAAAACGTGCTCCTTCTTACAAATAATGCCATTCCGAAAAAATGTATTTATTTTAAGTATCGAAATAGAATATAAAATTGTATATACACGTCTATATGCAAAAAGTGTTACTATTCATAATTTAATTGCTTTTTATTGCTAAACGTTTAATTTTCATGAATTTTTATTATAATTTTAATTATCATTGATTTTTAACTGTCACTAATTTTAAATAAACTTGAATGTGTTAAAATTGCATTATGATTCACAATTAGATCCTAGAACTAGATGTGAATTATCAATTATAATTTCGTTATAGCCACCAAAAAGGATAAAGCATTTGGTGAATTGATCTCCAATTAACTACATGAGGTCTAATTGTGGATAATTGTCATTACACTTTATTTAATTTAAATTAAAACGTATATAAAACAGTAACGAAATGAAATAAAATCATCCATAATATAATCTTTATGATCAATTAAATATTTTATTAATTGTTTGATATTGTTCCGGATAAAAGTATGAATTTTTTTAAAAGAGTGATCCACAACTAGTATTTTTACCCTATGTGTATATGTCTGTGTCGATGGTTATTTCATTCGGAAGGTGACATTATACCCAGCCAGCACATATTTGTTCGTGGAATATTTTCCGATTCTCCACTGGGAAGATTTGAATATTCGTAGAAACTTCTTTTAAGAAGATAGATATTCTAAGAATATTCTTATGTTTTCAAAAGTACACTATCCAAAATATTCTAATAACATTCCTCAAGATTATTCTCATAATATATAGGTATATAGAATATTCTATGCATATTTTGAATATTACAAGGAGTATTAGTTAGATACATGTGCATTATCAATATTAATATGTTCGACACATTCAACATTGTTTGAAGCTGAACCAGAAGCATCAGTATTATCATTATATAAACGTTGTAATACAGAATTTACTTCTTTTCTTACAATTCGATAGAAATAACTGGCTGCTTTCCTTTTAGAAGACACAGTCGACACAAGCACAATAAGTGTCGTTCTATCTTTGTCACTCTCTGAATATCAAGAAGGATAGAACGACGCTTGTGTCGACTTGTGTCGATTTGTGTCATCAAATGGAAAGCAGTGTATGTTCATCTTGCATTTTACCTTTGGCATTGTTATCGGAAAAAACACTTGTAAACAAATTATGCAACATAACTTATATATGTGTAATATATATTCTTCATCATTTTATTTACTTATAAATATACTTATACACAAATTATATGTATTTCTTCTTTATTATTATTACTTCAACAATTATACCAAATTTTTAATACCTTTTGTTATTTAATTAAACAATCTGAATCTCGTGATTCGTGCATGCCCATCCAGTGCTCGTTCGCGCTTGTTCGTGTCTCGATATCACGTCATTTAGTGGTAATCATTATTTTTCGAATATTCCAGTATACAAGGCTTTCGAATATTCGAAAAGTCACATACGGTAAATATTTCATAAAATGTATACAATATTATCCAATTAAGAATATTCGAAGTTGAATTACAGAGAAGATTCATATTCTTATAATAATATTAGAATATTTATTTAAAACCATTCGCGTAGGAAGATTTATAGAGCAGTGCAAGAATATTATGTGCTGGCTGGGTACGTATGGACATACGTACAGTTATGTATATACATGCCTATACAGTTAAAAAAACAAACTATGTACTGTAGATAAAGATATTCTTCAGTCCAATTAAACTAAAAATAACAATTTTCAAATGGTGTTACAGCAAAATCTGTCCATTTTTGATGATTGTGTTTATAGAGACTTTTGATCAACATACATTATAAAATATCACAGACTCAGTTAATTTAAAATCACTTTTTCCATGTAATTAATCCTTTGAGTGAAATTTCGTTTGTGCCAAAAAAAATCCAGACAGACGAAGGATTAACTTTGAATTCTATTTTTGGGTAAAAAAAAATTATAAATTAAATTGTATATAGGCTACGAGTAAAGTTGGATGTCGAGTGCTAAATTGATATATAATATTTAAAACATAGATAAGAATATACAATAGACAAACGTTTCAACTTTTACTAGGTCATCTTCAGTGTAACAAGTATAGTTAATAATAAAAAAGTTCGTAACGCCAAATCGATTAACAATAAAATTCAAATTATACATAAAGAGTTACAAAATTCCAAACCACACACTTTTCTCTTCGTTTTTGATATCTTCCATTACGTTATTATCCAATATCACTCAATCGTAGTCATATCGTTCAAATCGATCATTATAATCTTAAGAAAATTGTTCTATTCATTTTTTGCGTCTATTGCTAACGTTTATCATTTCCATTTGCCGCGGTAGATCGAATATTACATTTGTTGTATAAACTAAATAATTAATTTTATAAATAATTAAAGTAATAAACAATTAAATAATTAAATGAATAAAAAATAAATATAAAAATTTAATTTTTATATTTATTTTTTATTCATTTAAATACTTTAATTACTTATAAAATTAATTATTTATACAGGTAGGCATAACTCCTTAAAGTAATAAACAATTAAACAATTAAATGAATAAAATATAAATATAAAAATTAAATTTTTATATTTATTTTTTATTCATTTAATTGTTTATTACTTTAAGGGGTTATGCCTACCTGTAAACTTCAAAAAAATCGATTTTTGGATTTTGATATTTTCTTAAAGTACATACTTTCAAAAATATTCCCTGTAAATTTCAAGTCGATTCGACAAAAATTGACGAAGTTATGTGAGTTTAAAAGTATACTGGTTTGAACGTTTGCAGCAGGTATTTTACGTGAAATTGCGTGAGTATTTTTTTTTTAATTTTGTACAGTCCGAACTATTGTAGGAAAATGTAGGGGATTTGATTTTAGTTGTTAGGGGTTTTTGGGGGATCCTAAGATATGTTTTAGGAGACACTTTTCAAAATCACTTGGCAAACTTCAAACGCAATTTTCTCAAAACTGTATTTTTAAAATCGGGGATCAAAATATCTCGAGAATCGCTGTATCGATAAAAATGAAATTTGATAGGCTTCTTTAATACTACAAAATCTAGTGCCCGATCATGGCTTTTTATTTCGTTGCATATTTTTTTTTTACTGATAAAAAAGCGAGCGAACTTTGGTAGAAGAATCGTACCTTCGAATTTTAACAGCCGCCATTTTGTCGCAAATTAATTTTTCAAAAAAATGAACGATCGGGCACTAGATAAAGCTTATATATTAATTAAATTTGTCGGGTTTTTTGATTTGAGATAAACCAGCTCAGAGCTAGAGTGGTCACCGCAAAACGCTTCTAGAAAAACTTCTAACTGCTTCTGGAAAATTACTCATATCTTCCTTATTTATCGATATTTTGCAATAAAAAAAATACTGAATTATCCTCGAAATACATATATTTGAAAACATAAACGTTCGTTTCAAAAGCACTTGAAATTTTTTCAAAAAAAAATTCCCAAGAATACGTGTTTTTCCGACCATGCAGGTAGGCATAACCCCTTAATAAATACGATATTATTATAACGATTGAGCGATACTGGACAATAACGTAATGGAAGATATGAAAAACGAAGAGAAAAACAGTGGTTCGGAATTTTTTAACTCTTTATATATAATTGAATTTTATTGTTAACCGATTTGGTGTTGCAAACTTTTTTATTATCAACTATACTTGTTACACTGAGGATGACCTAGTAAAGGTTGAAACATTTATCTATTGTATATTCTTATCTATGTTTTAAATATAAAATATCAATTTAGAACTCGACATCCAGTTTTTACTCGTAGCCTATATTCAATTTAATTTTTAATTATTGAGTAATAATATTTATTTGTAAAAAATTATAAGTTTTTTATTTAATTTAATGCACTCTTCCTCGCAAGAACACGTATGAAACGGTAATAATCGCACGATCGCAAGGAAGCACGCGCACGTCGACTTTCGCGAAACCGTGAACTTCCGAGAAATCCGTGAACAAGGAAGATTGCTTTCACAGGAAGAGCCTTGAGTCCGAGGGTGGGCATACTTGGCGCGAGTACACGTACCGTAAGATTACACCGTGCGACGCGTGCGGCCAGGTACTGCGCGGCCACAGCCGCCAGGGTGTCCGGTGTCGCGGTTGCAAGGCAAACGCGCATACGGACTGCATCAACATGGTGCAACCAGCGTTGTGCCCGAGCCTGGCGCCGAAGAAGGGCGGCGGTATACCACTTCTGCGGCGACAAAAGACTCAAGTAACCACCGACGAGGTGCCAGCATCATCTGAGCACAGTGAGTACAAATTAGATACACGAGATCCACGACGCGTGTTCTTCCCTCCTTTCTCCCCGCCATCAGCGACGCGACAGCTCTCTCATTGTCGAGGACATTTTATCGGTAAACGAAGGGAACCGGTCGATTTCTCGATAAGCCTGTTATCTCTCGCCGATTGGATCGGGGGATCTTTCTGTTTTTTTCCTGTTTTGCGGGAGAACGTCGGGTTTCCCTTCATGCATGACGGGTAGTTAAAAATTGTTAGAAATCTATTCGGAAATACAGCCAACGCGAAAGGACTTTTTTTTGCAATTTCTCTTTGTCGTGTATTCTACGTATAGTGACGAGTGAATGGATTTATGGATTTAGAAGAAAAAATGGTGGAACTCTTGAAAAATAAAAGTCATTAAAATAAATTAATTATATAACTTTCCTGTATAACGGAGAATTGTTTATCAAGTAATTTTTAGTAGAATCTGAATTGTATCTTTTAACTTTTTAATCTAAAAACCTTTTCAAAAAATATTTGAAGATTTATTCTATACCTACATACAATTCCATTCATTCGCTGAAACTGTGTAACTGTTGCGTATTAAAAAGTAGTGAAAGAGTAAAATGCTCGTCTACAAAGTTGGATTTGATATAGCCAATAATATTCCTTATTATGGACTAAAACTTGTTACAAAAATTTAATTTAATACACTAATTGGATAACTCAAAACTTTAAAAACATGAAATATTAGATAATGATAAACGTCAAATTAAGATTTTATTGAAGCTGTTGAACTCATTAGTTTCTATGGAGCATCTCTCTGCACTACGATTTAACTCGTGAAGATTATTCGTTCGTTCGTGCTGTTGCCAAAGCCGCTATATCGTTTATCGCGCGTCATCTCATTTATCAACGAAAAAAGGGAAGAAGAAGACAGATCAATGTGAGGAAATTGAGCACTTGGCTGAGTGCGCGATTCAAAAAATCACGAATAGTCTGTTCGGTGCGCTTTTGCATTGCTGTGTCTCTTTATCCCGTATGGGCAGACGTGGACGCCATATACCAGGTGCTGAAGCAGGCAGGCGAGATTCGTGGAAACTCGACAAACTCACCGCCTACGCCTCCCACAGCAGAACACCCCCCTTCCGGTGCAGCACCTTCGTCAGCGAGGGCTTCCTCCCATCCCTGTTCCTCGTCCACCTCTGGTAAGACGCACCACTAAGAATTCCTGCCGACCTTGGAACGTACGTCGGAACCCCGAAAATTTTCCCACGTACAATGCGCGACATTCGCCGGGATCTCAAGACCAAGAAGCTCGAATCTCGACATGTTCCAGAATTTCGTCGCTTTATATTATTTATATAACGTTATTACACTATTGAATTTTATTAAGCTATTATAAAAATACACGGTACTGATTTTTTTTCTCATACTTCTTATCTGATGAGGTAGAATTTTTAGTAGCATTTCTTGAATAGGAATCTCGCTCTTTGAATGCTGTAATCTGAGTGTAATCCGTCATTGGGAAAAATTCATAGAATTCGATATCCAAAAAGCTATAGTTCAGTTTTAACAATAGATACACTTTCGAAGCTGAAACATGTCTCAGTTATTGGAGGACATATCTCTCTGTCGACGTAGTACTGGAGCAATGTATTTCTTGAATGTGTATCTTATACTTTTTATGTAACCTAATTGCAAGTTCGTATCGATATATAATCTATTTTTTTTTTTCTATATAATTCTGTGTAATATTCCCTAATTTTTACTTTATCAGTTTTTTACTTTACTCAGTAAACTGAATAGTCTCTCTTATTGAACTGTAAAGGAGATAAGTAACCTTTTAAATTAAAAAATAAAAAATAAAAAAAATTTTTTTTAAATAAAAAAAATTTTTTTAAAATAATTTTTATTTTTTGTAGTATCGTAGTTATTATATTCCTATACTCACACAAAAAAGAAGATAGAAATATAAACTGAATTTTAATGAGATGCACTGTGTATACATTAATTTTTTTAACTGTTCATATGTAAAAATCTTATTAAAACTAGAATTATATAAGTCAAACGTAAAATCAAAATTCTATCTCATATTCCTATCTTCTCGACTGCTAGTTAAGTTGCTGATGTAATTGAATTTATGTATTATTTCTTTTTAAGAGCACGTGTATGTGTGTGCGTGTTTAATGTCGTTCGTGCTCCAGTACTGTCAGTTCCAAGGTCTGTAGTCATTCATGTGTTTATGTAAAGCCGCTCGTCTTCTTCAGGGACATGACTCGTAAAATTCGTAATCTATCGATTCTTTAATGTGTACACTCCTTTCTTCTTCTTCTCCTTCTGCTACACTTATTTCTTCTTCTATTGCTGCTTCTTTCTTCTTCTATTCTGTATTCTGCTTATCATTAAGATTAATTTGATCCATGTTTAGAAGTAAGTCGCTGACGTCATTGTAGATATTATTTAACGCTATGTTATTACATTATATCGAAAAGATTATCTGTAGCGATACGACGTTACATTTGTTATATTTGTCACACCCAGGACGATAAATGCCATCTGCCCAATCACATGTTCTATTTTTTGTATTTTTATCTGTTTTATTATTATTATTATTATTTATATAATAACTCTTAATGACCTTTAAATTATATAATATGATAGTGTGTATATATATATATATATATATATATATACACATATGATAGTACAATTAATATAAGAAATTATACTAATATTTTTTATACAATTTTGATAAATTATTTCTAGATGTTTAAGATATGATAGTAATTATCGGTAATAATTTTATATATAAAATACGTGCAAGTGTATTGATTCATCAAACGAACAAACAGTTTTATTATATCTAATTCTTCTAACAATAAACTGTGCATTTTACTGTTTTCGTTTCAAACATACTCAATTTTGAAGGACTTCTCGTCTCAAGAATAATGACGATAAATCAGGATTTTTGGGCTGATTTTTGTCGTCGTGGGTGTCTCCTCGACGACGAGAGAAATATTTTATCGCTTATCGCCCTCTTGACTTTCATTGCGGACGGCTTATCAAGTTCCCATCCCAAATCACCCCTCATTAGCTTTCTGTCTGATATGTAATATCTATAATAATAATAACGGCTGATGATGATAACGGCATTAGTAACCGTGATAATTGAAACACATTAAATGTAACATAATAAGTAGATATTAATAAATAATAACGCTGTATAGTGATTAAGTTAATTACAACGTTTATTATATGTTTGATACTTTTACGATCATTTAATTATTGCTTCCATCCCCTTTCTTTTCGTTTATAGTCGCAAATTTTTTACAACAGTAGACATTTGCGAAATGAAATTATAATATCATAATAAGAACATTGGTACACAAAAAACCTAAATAACGGAGGTTATCCCCCCCCCCCCCCCCCGAAGAACATCAGTAACATTGAGATTTCTAGCCTGTGCTAGCTTAACGAGAACTTGTGCGAGTTTGACGATTCCATAACCCTAAAGACTGAGAGATCAACTGAGAAATCGAGTGGAGAGTGAATCAGAGACAAACTGCAGACTTCCACCGAAAGAGATCGGAATGTCGCATGTTCGCAGTGATCGTTGTTGAAATTTGATTGATCAGGGCGCGGCAGCGGTGGATCCACTTCCGGCACGCGACCCTTCGGGCAGCCTCTGGTGCTGATGTCACAGGAATCGCCGCCTTCGACGTCGACTTCGCTAAGGACACCCGAGATAGACGTGCAAGCACAGCGCAGCGCCAATAAAAAACGATGACAGTGCGTCGCATCGCGTTGCATCGCGTCGCCTCGGTCGAATGACGCATTTGCGCGAGTGCATCCGTGGATACGAATCCTTTCGGGAAGAATCCATCCCGAGGACACCGCGGCGTCGCCGGTCTCGTCATTTTTCTTTCCGCTCGAGCACTATCTATCGATTTTATTTATTCGTTTGTACGATTCGACGTTGCTCGATTTTCTTCCCACCACTCCGTACGAGAAGAACATATATTTGACGGACATTCTTGGGTATCCATCGGATATCTAAATATATCTCGATAAACCCTGGATTTTTATGTTCGTTTCCATCAATATAGATTAACTTTAATCTCGGTTCAATTCTCTTCATTTTTTTCTATAGAGTTATAAGAATTGTATCCATTTCTACCAATGTAGATTAATTTTAATCTCGGTTTATTTATTTTTCATCTTTTTCTAATTCTTAGAACTAGAAGAAGATGAAAAATGTGAGTTAAACTAAGATCAAGATTAATTCTACATTAATAGAAATAAGCATTAGAAAAACATTGAGAGTATGTCGAACTGAGATTAAAAATTAATTTGTTAGTAAAAACAAGCATTAAACGTTCGTTAACTGCCACGTAAATTATTATACATGAGGGACTATTACATGAAGAGGGCGTAATGAATATTTTATGTTATGTCTGTGCACGATTCACGGCTATGTATAATAGCAGTATTATTAAATATTAAAAAGTCTACACACAATGTTTCAGGATATTTAAAAATATCCAATGGACATTTCGATATGTCTATTAAAACATATATTTAGTCCGTATTGTATATTATACAATAAATAACGTCATCTATACGTTAATTAACTATACCTTGACTACATTTCGTAATGTTTGAGGAGATATTTCGCGCTCGTTGATTAACAGACGCTAATGGATGACCACAGAGACAGCGAATATCCGACAGATGCGCAAACGTGGCTGTTTGATTCTCGAATGTATCGATCCGGCTCTATACATATAATAGACCGCTATATATTATACCCAGAACGATCGAAAAGCAGATTCCTCACGCGAATCGAACTCATCACGAATGCATGATCATTGGAAATTTACTTCCTTGAAATAATTAGCTAGTTGCACGAAGAAGAGGCGGAAAAATATAATGAGATATATCCAGAATATAGAGAAAGAGCGTAGGATCACGCAGGATTGGCGAGAAGAGCGCAAATACATGCTCTTAAATTGAACCTGATTGGCCCATCACGAAGTATTTGCCTATTTATCTATCCATACACACACATACACACACCCATTCGATATTGCAACGATCATTTGCGACGATCCATCATGCTTAGGATTGTTTAACGGGAGAGCACCGTTCTAAAAGCTGTCGTTCTGAACTAAAATATAAGTTGAATAAAAGTTCCAGTTTGATATACTAACTATTTTGAAATATAAACCATTTCAAAAATATAATATGCGTAAAACGTAAATTAAAATACAGAAGAATTTGTCTGCAGGAATATCAGAATAAAGAAAATTTATGGGATTATTACATTTCTATTCGTTTTCGCGGATTATTAAATCATTTCAAGAGATTTCAATTGATTTAATTAATGCCTTCTTTCTTATACTTTTCTTGTTATTTTTTGTTCTTTCTAAATTTCTCGAAGTAAAATCTCACTCCAAAAGAGTGAAAATACTGCCACTATTAAAAAAGAATAGTAAAAATATTTGCATTCTTGAATAAGAATGACAGATTTTCACTTTTTTTGGAGTAAAATTCACTCTAAAGAAATAAAATCTCATTTCTTTAGAAGAAGTAAGATTTCTTTCCTTTCAAATGAATCTCACTCCAAAAGGGTGACAATTTGCTACTTTTATTCAAGAGTACAAATATTTACACTCTTTTTCAATAGTGATAGTATTTTCATTCTTTTTGAGTAAGATTTCACTCCAAGAGACAGTATAAATGATTTATAAATACAAATTTTTTTTAAATAAATTAAAGGAAAAAAATTTTGCTTTTTCATAAAAAACTTCAAAAATACATTTCAATAACTCTATGTTCAGATATCGACTGTGACAAATATTAAATCGCAAAAATGGATTTATTGTTTGAGTGAATAGAAAACCAATCGCAGTTTGTGGTTCGTTACATATGTATGTAAATACAACTTGCGGAAGAGAATTTGCGCTTTGCTGTCGATTTAAATCGATATAACACGGCCACTATCGCTTTTTACGCTGATAGCGAGGCTATTTTATCGGCTCCACTGTATATGGGGCTCTTTTATTATCACAAACAAAATGGGATTTATTTCGCGTTTATTTCTAGCACCAATACGCTGCTTAATCGCTCAACATTTTCTCTTTCGTTTATTTCTATTTCATAGTGTACAGTGTATTAAGTTAAGAAAACAATCTTAGGACAGTTGACCATGTAGCTCTGTGTTATAAAATTTTAGAAACGTGCTTTTATCGGCGGTAGAGGGATGAAAATAAATATTTAACAATAAGCTTAGAGAGACGTTGTAACCTCTTTATATAACGATGCTTTGAGTTCATTGCGAGAGAAACGCTCGTTTTTTTTTGTTCCAAAAGACTCGTCAGTTGAATCTTTGTACATCAAGTATTGCAGTTTTTGTTGTTATAATTTATCGTTGTACAATGTAACACTTGTACCGTCGAAATATGCAATTAGAGGAGAAGAAGATTGAAAATATACATTACTTACAATTAGAATAATAGAACTAAAGGGTTTGTTATACAGAGAATTATCTTACGCGCGCACACCGAGAATATTATTTGTGAATTTTTTCCGAAAGCACATGTAAATATTGTAAATAAAAATCTTATTTTCCGCAATTTCGATATTTTCCATATTTTGTTGCGAGTCGTGTCCCGTTATAATTGTGCTGCTTGTAAGCTTTTTATTTTAGTATATAAATTATGTTAAGTAATTAGAGTGCATTTGTAAAAAATTGCTTGCTCTGCTTGCTCGTGCAGCCGGTATTTCCATATTCGACGCTGACGATCGATTATCTCTTTCAAGATAGATACCTTCACGAACTTTATTTGTAAAGAAACGAACTTGTAAAAATGGAATTATCTATCATTCAACTAATTATGGAAATTTGATTAATTATTCATTACTTTTTTTCGTAACTTTTTTATTTACAGTAGTCATTAAAGAGTCGCGATTGAAAATTTTAAAATAAATTTTATTGAAAGAGAAGAAACTGAATAAATATTCATTAAATTAAAGATTGAAATTAAATATTCAGATTTGGAATTTAACTAAAATTACTAAATCAATTTAGAGATTATTTTTATAAGCTAGGCTACTTATCTTTAGAAAATGAAGGGTAAACTCGGGTATGATGGCCATAGTTTTTTAAAATGCAAAAAACATACATTTATTCTTGTTACTTTTTAACAATATTTGGGATATTACTTTCACTGAAGCTTAAAGTAACAAATACTATCGAAATTAAAGAGAAAATACTTAACAGAACTTTAATTTTATCAAAATATTGCAAAGTATGCATTGGCCATCTTATCTGGTTTTTAGGAAAAAGATGGCCATAGTATTTCTAAATAAATAGTGAAAATAAAAGTATTAATTATAGATCACATTGCAATTTACGTACCTTTATTGTGTATGTAATGTTGATTATGGCAGCTTAACTGTAATTTATTAGACATTATAACAGTTTTTAGCAGACACGTGCAAAACTTTGCAGATAGTCGAAAGAAAAAATATTAGATAATATTTATAGTATTGTTATTTTGAACAGTAGTGTACTCATATGAAAACTACTGTAAATATTGATTATCTTTAAGAATGACTATAAAAATGCACTATTTATCAATTATTGGAGAAATTATGGCCTATGGCCATCTTTTGCGTATGGCCATAATACCTACCCTAGTTTACCCTAATTATTACATTTGTTAAAAAGAAATATTATTTTTAACTTTTCGTCAATTCATCTTTTATAAAACAAATTCATTAGAAGAAGACATATACATATCAGAGAACGGCTTAGATTTTCATAATTTCAGAGATTTTTTTTTATCAGTCGCGATTTATTATGTCTAATTTTCGATGTCAGCGTGGAAAATGCAACTTTTACTGTGGCTAACACGTTTCTAACCGATAATTATGAAAAACCAAGCACCGCATAGTCCACAACGTAGACGCGAGAGGCTGAATCTGCGGATGAAGAGCCTCAGTCTGGATTCTCCGGAAGGCAGTGCGCACGTGCGTCGGCCGCGGGATTATTATGCCGCGGGTGCAAGAGAAACCACACCACCCCGACATTCTGACAGCGGTAGTATCAATAGGCTGTGTAAGTAACCGCAAACGTATTATCGCGATATACAATATTAGGCTGGTACATGTAAAATGGCTGTTTTTATAAGAGATCTTCCGATAAAACTGTTTAAAAGCTCGTTTAGTTGAAACTTGAATGTTTTAAGAATTTAGTTACGGAAAAATATATTCGGATTGCGAAAGTTAATAAATTCTTTTTCGTTCTCAATTATCGCATGTAAGTGTTTTTGTAAATTTATATTTTAATTCTCGGATTTAAATTTTTAAAGAATTTAAATTTTTTACGAAACGGTATTAATAAAATGCAAAATACTAAAACATTTACATATTATTTTATAACTTGCAAATCGGTACACGTAACCTTATACTAATATAAATAGTAATTCGTAATATAAATCTGATACATGTAGAGAGAAAAGATATCAAAAACAAAATAAATTAATGAATTTAAGGCATACATATACATATGTAAGTTTTTATATGCAAACAATTTTTCTTTTACAAAATTTGCGTTTGATCTCTAGATAAATTCTGCAGTTGCTCGCTTCAAAAGAAAATGACATAGAATGTATTTAAGAACCTAACTCAATTTTACATGAAAGAGCGAAATTGTCATTTTACATGTGCCAACTTAATTAGTCTTTGAACAATAATAACGAGCCGCAGGTTCGCGTGCAAATGTTATTTCCAGCGCCCTGCAGCCCGGGTCAGAGTCATGGAATGCACAAACATGTGCGAAACGCCATTCGGATGTCCAGTATGGAGCTACCGGACGATAATGAGAAGTCATACTCGTCGGCGAGCACGTCGCCGTGTCCGTCGCCACACACAAATAATCAGAACCACTTGAATCCACCCGGCAAGCGTGTTCTGCCACCGAATAATCTCTACGTCGTTCTGTACAACTTCGAGGCACGACATCCAGATGAGCTGGATCTTAAGTAAGAACTTGTCTCGTATAGCATGGAAAAAACCAGCGATTCTCCATCATCCCTTTTTACAAAAGCCCTCAGATTAACAATCTAATAGTTATAAACATGAACACTTTTATCTCAAAAAGATAAAAAGTATACCTGAAATAAGAATTGTTTTTATATATTTTTCATATATTTATATATTTTATATACATTTACATATTTTTTTATATTTCATATATATATTTTTACATATTTTTTACTTTGAACTTTTCTAATTTTATTTTTTCTTTATATGTACTCAAATATTATATAATTAATTATAAGATCTGATTTATTCAAATCATTTGAAATATTTAGTTTATTTTACAATAATTTGTGGAATTATAATTTTAAAAAATATAATTTAAAAGTAATTATAACAATGTAGATACTTTAAACACTTTTCCGCACGCAAGTATTCGTAATTCCATTATTCAAATTCTTGCATGCAACGACAGAAAGTATTGCGAATGATGCGACATTGATCGCATAAATAATAAATTAATTAGTTGACTTACTAAGTCGATGCACTGCCAGCTGCTTCTGCATTCCTTATCTTCTCTGCTATTCCACTGTTTCTAGTTATCCTTCTAGTTATCAGTCTAAAAATTCATAAAATTAATAATTAGCATACACTTATCATTAAAGATTGCTCATTGTCATTGTTTCAAATGACACTAATGATTCATTCGCGCACTTTCATGATTCATTTATTTGCTCGCTGCATTTTAATGTAGTAGCGAGGTTAATAAATAATACGATTACTCAATTAGATCACTATATCAGAGCTCGGCACGAAATGCAACTTTTGTACTAGTGCATATTAATGTTCAACCGAATTCGCTATTAGTTTCGTATGTAATGAGCGAAAAAAAGATAGAATGAAGATTACAGCGTGTCGAGCGCCCCGAACGAATGCCCCTTACATCTACGAGCGCCTTATTAGTACACTCTTAAGCGTCGATCGGCATGTGGACTGCGCGTGGGGCGGTGATGTAAGAGGGATAGCGGAAGGCGGAACCGACTCGAAAATCGGCCGAAAGTTACATTTTGTACCGAGCCCTGCACTATATAATCGTCGTCGATTATATTTTCTACAGCATTCCAAACCACAAGAATAATCCATATTACCAACGCGATATTCTTTTTTAGCGATACGATGGTCGCATGGATTCCACTCGACGAAATTTAACTATGTAGACAGTGGCGTAGTCAAGGGGGGGAGGGCTGTGGGAGCTGCAGCCCCCCTCCCCGAAATTCTGAATAATTTCAATAATTTCATAAGAATGTGTAAAAAATTGTTGAGTCATAAATATCAATTTGTTTTGAGAGAGGAAATTAAATCCTGTTGGGGGATAGTTCTCATATTTAATTTAGTTGCAAAAATATCGTTTATTACGTAATATATTTGTTGATTTTTCTTTGTATTTGGCACGTAAACAAAAATTCGATAAATTACACGGAAAAAAATGTTGCTGCTAGTAGTGTAGACCGGGGAGTAAAGGGCCACTTTTGACATTTTTTGCTATAAAGTAAAGAATACTTAACTCACACAGATCGTGTTGATATTTTTCGAAACTAGAATCCTTTGACTATAAAATACATGCAAGAAAGTATGCATATATACCCTTCATTACAAAGATATCGTAAATTTTACAGAGAATGTCATTCGGCCTTCTTACCCCATATGTGGGGCAAGAAGTTCCACATAATGGGGTAAAAAGTACCAATACTAATATATTACGTTTAAACTATTTTCAGAGATAAAAATAGGTATATATTAGAGAGTTTTTTTATTATAAGGTGGGATTTTATTATTAAGAGGGTTTTGGTAATAAAATTATAATAGAAATATTTCAGTTTTAACAGAAAATTAAATTATTAATGTTTTCTTAACCTAAGACAAACTTTGAAAAGAAGAAACAAAACTAGCACTATATCATGCTCGAAAACAAATAAGAATAGTCTTTCTTCTTACACTTAATTTTTTAAGTCATTTTGACCTTAATAAAAAATTAAATCAGTCTCCCAATAATGGATGATTATAACGAATTTGAAAAAATATTTGTTATAAAAAGGTAATTAAGCGATAAAATCATTCGTCATCATTATTACAGTAATATAGACGCGTCGAATAAGCCTAATTTCATCGAAATCGGAGATGAAAGTCGCATTCTGAATAATTTATCTGTCTCTCTGTGTAACGAACACCACTAATGCTAATTCTACAATGAGTCGATAATCGAAAGTAATCGGTAACGTTTCGTACTGTTGGCTATTGGTCAACTTCACTGATAAGATTATCGACTTAGGATTATCGACTTGTTATAGAATCAACATTAACGAATACAGAGCAACTATGGCACTTTTACCCCAACAAGTCACGTAAACTTTGCGGCATTGTTATTAAAAAACTATAATAGAAATTTCTAATAATCACACTGTTAAAACAATTAGAATAAGATTAATAAATACACTTATTTAATCTATCTAGGTGCAAAAATGATCCCTTCAGACCAAAATAACTGCACGGCGCTAATATCTTACTTTTGGCTCTCAAACACATGGGCACATCCGTGCAAGTTTCCTGACGGTTATTAGGCAGTAACGAACTGTGTGACATAAGATTCTCACTCTTAATTGACGAACTGTGTGGCGGAATTTTCTAGTGAATGCCTTATTACCGAGATACAAGGGATGGACCTTTTTCCCCGGGGACCTTTACTCCCCGGTCTACCCTACATCCGCAAAAAGTGGCGTTGGGAGAACGACATCACTTCAACTCGCGAAATCACAGCCAGATATTAATGTTTATTATTCAAATTGTTACACTATACTCTTTGACATATTTTGCGACTTGTAGAGCTATTCCGAATTTTTCGAAGCATTTTACAACAAAATGGCGGATTTTTAATAATATTTTGTCGAGTTTACTGAATTTTTTTCAATCGTTAAAGTTGTGTTACGAATTTTCAAATTAAAAATTTTCATTAATGCTACATTGTAGTTGAATATTTAAAGAAATTTTCTGGAAAGTTTTAGATAAAAATTATAAAAAAATACAAAAAAACGTCTGCAATGATCACAACCTTGACGCGACATAGAGGCTTCAGCTTATTGACGACTAATGTGATTAAATTGATGTACAAAATGTTATATAAATCAACATTAATTACATTTTTATTTAATGTTTTAAACAAAACCTTTTCTATTTATGCTTATCAAATGTGTCACTGGGGGGGGGGGGGG